GACTTTGAACCATAGTTCTAAAAACCGGATCGGACTGGCCGGTTCGACCGGTTCAACCGAGAACCGAACACTTCAGCGGTTCGGTCTAGGGTGTTAAACCGCTGGTCACCAAAACCGGTCAAAAACCGCTCGGACCGTTCAAAAACCAGTGGAACCGGAAAACCGGAGCCGGTTCAACAGGCCCAACGGTTACAATTTCAAACTTGTTGGTTGACTTTTTCACTATAAACTCTTCATTTCTTTGATAGTATTTCGATGTGGGATAACTGTTTTATTATTTTTTTTTTTGCTTGTGGCGTGGGACATTCAAAAGGCCCACTAATTTCAAATGGTTGGGCCCTTTTTCTTGGCATATACTATATACGTAAGCAAATTGCCAAATTGCATTGCTGGGCCTTTTTAGTACAAAAATATCATATAGAAATTGTCATAAAATACAAACCATAACAGAGAAATGTAGAAATTTGATTTTCACTCGATTTATGTATTTTGTACATTGTTGGACGTTTAACACTTTAACGTTTAACAAAAATGTCATAAATACAAACCTTGCATGATAAAAATATATATAATTATATATTATACATAAAAAATAATGATAAAAAATAAATACAATTATTTTATATATAGAGAAATGCCATTATACACTATAAGACTAATGATAAAAATATATATAACTACATAATATACATATAAAATAAATAAAAATTATATATTAATTAAACCGGTTCGACCGGTTCGACCACTGGTCCGACCAGTGAACCATTGAACCGGTAGCTTCACCGGTTCGATGAACGGTTCGGTTTTCAGAACATTGCTTTGAACCCAATGAGCTCGAGTTGACTCGATCTAAAAATAATTATTGATAATTTTTATCAAAATAATAAAATAAGTGTATAAATATAAAAATTGTAGTTGTAGAGAATTAAATATTATATTTTTATTGATAATCATGGAAGAATAATATAATAGTTTTTTAATTCATTTTATTGAAGTTCTTAATGTCCTCTCCATTGAACCTCTCCTAGCTTATTTACCATAGTTATGAAAACCGAACCGGTCATACCGGTTCAATTGTTCATTGGTCGGACCAGTGGTCGAATCGATTTAATTAATATACACATTTTTATTTATTTTATATGTTTGATATATAATTATATAGATTTATCATTAATTTTATAGTGTATGATATTTCTCTAAATAATAGTTCAATAATAGATACAACCAATAATGATGAATAATATTGATAACTTTAATTTTTTATTTTATTTTTATATTTAAAATTTTAATCTATATTTAAGTTACAAAATAGAGAAAATAGAAATAACTTCTTTTTTTTTCATTTTTAAATCACATTTTAAGTTTTTCATTATTGATTAAAAAGATAGAAAAAATAAAATAATCTATATAACCAATACTAATAAATTACTTCTTTCTTTTTTAATAAATTGAGAATAGATATAGCACAATAGATATATTTTTTAATGAGTATAATTTTGCTTGTAAGACCCAATATTCGCTCAATAATTTTAGCAAGAGAACATATCTCACATTAGAAACACAAGTAAAAAATGTGTGTTATTTAAATGACTTCACAATCAACAATTCACAAATTCAAAAGCTAGAACCGTTGAACCATTCAAACTGGTCCCAGTTCACCGGTTTCGACTGTTTTGGACCGATTTGAACGGTTCTCATGCTTGGCAGTTTGATGCAGCGAACTCGATTGGAATGAAGGCCGATTCCCAGTCCAGCCAGTTGAACAGATCGGTCCAATCCGATTTTTAGAACCATTTTATTTACAGACCCATGCATGTAGCTTTTTTAAAACATTGAAAGTGCACATGTCAATTTTTAGAGACACTGATTACATATATAGATATATAATAACTTTGTTCCCGGGTCATAACTGGACAGTTTTTACTTCTTCGGATCGACACTTCTTCACAGATTGACACATTTTTTGTCACATCGATTTTTTTTTATTTTTTTTTTGTAGATCGACACTTTTCTAGCCAGATTGTCACTTTTCTATCATATTGACAGTTTTCTGGCCAACGTGGCATATATGTTGTTTGTATGACCATGTTTATTATTTTAAACTCATGTGTCATTCTTCTAATAATTGTGGAAAATTGGCAGCAACAATACAAATGCTCAAGATAAGCTTGAGTTTAGCTCGAGTTCGGCTCCTTTCATTAAAAATATATATAGTTAGGGTATTTAAATTATTCTATATATATTGAGGGGTTTCTAGCCCGAACTCGACCCAGGTTTGAATTTGAGGTGCTTGAGCTTGACTTGAACTCAAGTTTGAGCATTAACTATACGACATTAATCGAGCTTGAGTCGAGCGTTAACTCAAACACTCGCTTGTGTCTTGAATCATTTTGAAGTGTGTGTGCATGTTCACATAAACACACATAAATAATGCGGAAGCGAATATAACAAAATTTTTCTTTAAGGAGTGCATCGCTATCCCTCATAACTATTTCACTAGTAAATGATCACGCGCACTTAGTTTAGTATGGATTTACTAGACTTGAACTCCCTTCTAGTTCTACAGTCCCTACACTCCACTTTGCTAGCTACTTTTCTACTCAACTCGTGAACTTAAAACGCTTTTATTAGATCACTCCAAGGCTAACAATCACTTCTTCCAAGTGTTGTTAGAAGAACAAAAAAAAATACATACCAAACTTTCAGCTGTAAGAATACTAACTAAAAGCAAGAACACTATATCTATGTAAAAAATAAACTCTAAACTCTCAAGATAATCTCATCATCTATAGCAGCACACATATAGGTCTTTGATACGAAATGACTTTCGACCGGCTCAATTCGGCCAGATCTTTCTGCCTCGCTGATGGATGACCTTCGTAACCTGCAAAAACTCGACACCGGCGGGGTTTTATGGTGAAGAGCCTCCGATGATTAAGTTGGCACAATAAAGAAGATGATGAGAAACATGTAAGTATGTTGAGAGTGAAATGTTCTAGAGGGCATACTTCACTCCCTTTTTAGAGAGTGTTACCTTGTTGCCCAAGACTTCCCGAGTAAGCTGCCCGGACTGCTCGAACAACACGTCTGTACTGCCCAATCTATCCAATTCTGTTAGACACATAGCCCTATCCACAAGTGGTTCTTATACAGATAATATCCTTCATATCCATTAGTCTGCCCTGTTAGACTGCCTAATCATGCAACTAATGTGAATCACGTTGAGGTAGACGTCGTCTCTTTACTTCATGGGGAAGAGTTTCCGCCGCTTTTTCTTTTTCTTGGTCTTCTTCTTTATTGAACATACTTTGGCGGTTCAAAAAGTCTTCAAATTTTCAAGAGAGTTCTTTAGAGCGTTTGAATTTGAGACTTTGATTTATGAGTTGTGATTTGTGACTTTGAGAAGAGCCTTATTTATAGGTAGGAGATAGAGTTTTGGAGAAGAATAAATCAATTTGATTGGTCTTTCATGATTTGATATAATATTTTTCGTTGTCCTAAGATTTTTCTTTATTCAAAGATTTGGCTTGATTTGATGGGTAAGAAATATTTATTTTGTTAATTAAATATCTTATTTATCTTGAATTTATATCAAAAAATAAATAAAGACACTAATTAATAAAATATTAAAAGTTCAATATCTACAATGATATCTTTAAAATGTAAGGAAATTAATATGTGGATAAATAAGTGAGAAATTTAAATTAGGAATACCTTTTAAATTTGTGTGTGATCTCAAGATAACATACACAACAATATTTTGTGTGAATACCTAGAATACATACAATATCACCTTAAAATCAGTATTAGGCTTATTTAAGTTTCAACTACTTAATATGTTATTTTAGTCCAATATTTAATTTTTAAAAATAACTTAGTATGATTGTTTAGTCTAATATTTAATTTAAAAAAACATCAATATGAATGTTTAGTCCAACATTTAACTTTAAAAATAACTATAATATTACTTGCACGTGCATCGCACGGGAAATGTACTAGTATGTTGTTAAATCGTTAAGTATCTATCATTTCACATTACATTATGCTACTTTGATATCTCATCAATTTTAATTATTATTTAAATATAAATATATTTAAATACAAATTAAAATTTCACTGAATCTACTCAATCAACTTTATCTAAAATTATGTAATTTTAACTCAATATCCAATCAAAATTAAAATCGATTCTTATTTTATATCATGTCGGCCCTTGTGCCATGCAAAAATAGAATCTGGCGTGTTTGCATATAAATTAACTCAATACTTAAAATATAACGCAACTCTAACACAAATTCACTATCCTCAATATTACTAATATAATTAAATAATATCAATCAATCATTCTAACACATCACAATGTGATCACAACCATTGTAATTCACTATTCATCTAACCTCACTATCCTCAATATTACTAATATAATTAAATAATATCAACCAATCACTGTTACATCACTTTAATTTTAATTCACTATTCATCCAGTCACATAATTATTACTAACCATCACTTCATATCAGTTATTTCATATTTTTTCATCAAATCAACTTGAAATATTTTATTTTAAGTATTATTTTAATTTAATATAAATTACAAATTTCACTAACAAGTAATCATATTATTATTTTTTAAATTAATTATGGTTAAAAAAAAAATTATTGTGAGCGGAATTCATATCCTANAATCAATTGTAAGCAAAAATTGCAGACGGCGATGGTGGAAATGATTTGTTCTGCAATCAGCGGCGACCGGCCGTCGCCAGCTCGGGTTGCAGCTGCAGGCAGCCACCAGCGACTTTCAGAAGATCATCAGCCTCGGTGGTACCATGATGGATGGGCGAACCATGTAAATTTGCTATACTATGTTCATACTCAATATATTGCTGATTAATTTTTGTTAGGGCTCGAGCTATGTGCATATTCTTAATTTTGAAGTAGGGCAGAAATTATTCATGCTATGTTATGTCAAACAAATCAACAAACAGTTCATTTAGCAATGGTGCTTTATCTTGTGGTTTCAATAAATAGGTCTCTCCTTCATATTAGTTATGATTATCTTGTGGTTAAACAATCATACTCAAGTGTCATACTTTAAAATACAATATAAATAAAAGTATGATATTTTATTGGATAAGGTTTTCTATCTTTCAAACATAGGATTAAGACACGATAAAATGTTCAATTGTTCATCCAATTGCTTATAAAAACTACTTAGATCATCTCCAATGTCACAATGCCCATTTTGAGACTTGTGGCATGTAGAAATTGAAGAAATCTTATCTTTAATGGTTAACTTGGATTTTGAATATCATGGCACGGAAAAGATAATAATCGGTTGGAGTAGTGAGAAATGAAAGAGAGAATAAAACATTAAAAAGCAGGCGCCTGGGAGTTCTTCCATATCGAGATAGAAGGACTTATAGACATTTAACTTGCGATTCTGTTCTCGTGACATTGGAATTGACAGCATATAGACCATTGGGGATGATCTAAAATATAATGTCCGATGAATAAGCTCATTTGAGATAAATGGAGTGTTCTATTCCATTAAGGAGTACCTTGTGGTACTTGAGATGCTAAAATAAATAAATAAATTAACAAAACATTGGCTCTTTGGTGATTTGTAATATGTGTTTAGGTTCTGCACTTTGTATTACTTGATTTGTCTGTTTGTTGGGGCTAGAATTGCAAGTATCAGATGCTTGTTGTTCGAAACAGCCATGGGATGAAGCCTGAGATTTCCATTCCTTTGGAGAAAAGGTATGAATATCATGTTGAGCTCAAATTCAAACTGTAGCCTGAAATTTTATTGTTTAGACTTGTGTTAAGGTTATGTTTGGTAAAAGTAGCTGATAGCAGATAAGCTAACTTATAGCTTATCAGTAATTTTCGAGCTTATAGCTTATAGCTTAGGAGTTATAGCTGAAAAGCTACCTTATTTGATAAAAGTGTTTGGTAAAAGTAGCTGAAATAAAAATTTCAACAAGCTTATTTGAAAAGCTACCCAAAGAAGCTTATGAGATAAGCTCGTCCTACCAAACGAAGCTTATAAACTAACCAAATAAGCTATAAGCTAGCTTATTTGTCTACCAAACATAGCCTAAATAAAGATATCACTAGCGCAACATTAGGCATTGGCCAATTTCTCTCATTTTTTTAATTGCATTAACCCTTTGTTTTTGAACAAATGTTTGAACACAGCTTCGTGTCATTTTGGGTGGAAAAGATATTATTCGTAGATATTAAATATGGAGCTTCAACAAGGTAGAAAAACATAATTACTTTTCTTCATTTTATTAATAGGTTGGCTCCATAATTATGCCATCCTGTTCTTGTTGGATTTGGCAATGAAGACAAATCATTTACCGGACGCTGCAGATTCTGTGGGGTGTAGGTACGCCTTTCTTATTACTTCATTTGACTAATAAAAACGAGACGACTATATTGTGCCTCTCTCTCGTTTACATACATTTATGTGTCTTTTCCTTTGGTAATATATGAAGTGCCAATTTTGTTGCTATTATACATTAAACTATTAGTGGCATGCAGTAAACCCACTAATTCTTTCGTATATTCACAAATAAATATATAAATATATATATATATATATATATAATTGCCGCGTCATACGTTTAAAATTACATATCATTGTAACTAGATTACAAAATTTTAATTATGTAAATTGCGTAATTGAATCACACATTTCCAATATTAACGCGTCAAAGAAATGTATACAATCTAAATCAAATTTAAAGATTTCTAAATCCAACTGCCATCCAATCTGTCTAATTAATTCTCCCTATTCTGCTTTTTACCTCGCCTAACTTATTTATGTAGGTTTCTCATCTTAACCTGTCTAATATAATTGTTACCTGTTCATCCACATCTCCATATGAGCCTGGCTTTGTGTACTCAGAAGTAGTTGTCTACGATATTAGCATCACCCCTCTGAATTATATTTATGCTAAGTTTCAGGGTCTAAGACTTTTTCCTCTGTTTGAATTGAAATTGAAAAATTTTGCATTCCTTTTCGGGCATTTGCTTATCGTTCCCGTTCTTTCCTTCAGGTAAATGGAATGCTGCTGTTACAGTCGCTCTTTGTCCATTAGTTCTATGAAATTTTGATATTTTTGCTTTTAATCTTGTAAATCATAGTAGCATTTTGTTTTTCTTACCAAAATTATGCCTGAGTGCCTGTGAAAATGTTTAAATTTTTGTTAACTGTTGTTATTTGCTATAATTGAATTTCTTGCTTTGGCTTTGCGATGTCAAAACATTATGACTGTATAGATATATCATGAACTCTTTCTTTTCATGACATGTCTGAGTATTAATAGAAAAATTATTTCGTTGACACCCGGGCACATTTTCATGTCACTAGGAAAAGCTGCTACTATGGCATCGGGTGACAACGACAATTATGATTGGTTGTTCAAGCAGATGGATGAGGTACGTCAGAATAAGGTTGATTCCTCTAATGACATGGCTTCATTAAGTAAGTCGATTGGCATTTGTGAAAGCAACCCAAGATCTGATGAGAAGAGCAAAAATAAGGAAGATTGTTCTGAAGATGTGGCTTTGTTATATAACTTGTGTCCAATTTCCCCGGTTAAACCAAGATTTGAGTTGAATGGTTTTGATCGGTTGTGTGAGCCGTCGGGTGGCATGGGTAGTGGTGATGATGACAGCTTTCCAGCGTCCCAAAATAAACCAGGGATAGAATCTATCAAGCTACAAGCTGAAGTTGTCGCTGATGACAGCACTGATGATGATGATTGTGTAATATTGGATGGGGAACCTAATACATCTGTGGAGGCCGTGGTTGAGACAGGGGATGATGACATATTGGTCACTCGCGAGAAGGGAGAGGTAATTCGATGTCCCTTCTTTTCTTAGTTGAGACATTTTGTTTAAATGTGATATTTATTCCAATTAGGGCTGCAAACGAGTCGAGCATTGGCCTTATCGAGCAGGATTGATTTTTTTCTTTAGCTGATCGAGCTTGAGCTCGAGCTCTCCTAGCTCGATTTATGAGGCTCGAGCTCGACTCGATAAAAAAGTTCAATCGCTCGAGCTCGACTTGAAATCAAGATGTTCGAGCTCGGATCGAAAATTTTCAAGTAGAAATATAAAATTACCATTAAGCACCTATGCTCTACCTATTGTAATGTGTATATAAGGGGTATTTTAGTAATTCAACACATATCTCGAGCTGCTCGACAATGCAAAATATGGGATCAAGCTCCACTCGCGTTTGGTCAAACTCGAGCTCTAGTCTGCTTTGACTCGAGCGCTCGCGAGCAGCTTGGTTCGTTTGCAGCCCTAGTTCCAATGATTGGTAAGAAGTTTTTGACCATTGCTTACAAAAATTATCATTTTTCCTCCTCAAAAGTATCCATCAGTACCAGTAGTGAATGTACGTTGCTAAATACAGTTTTGCCTTCTAACAAAATTTCTAGTGCTGGGACATATAATATTTCCTTTGCAATTTATCCTGTCTGCATTGAAACCTAATTAGTTTGAACAAATTTTCATCTTTATGAAAAATATAATAGCTGAATAAAAATACTAGTACAGTACCCGTGCGATGCACGGGACTTTATTATTTCAGTCCTTTTCAAAAAGCAATTTTGTATTTAAATTCAAATTACATAATAAAGCACCGATCATTGATTATAATTAAACCTAACAAATACTTATTATGAGATACGTGTAATTATTTATATTAATCATGTTGGAGTTTTAAAATATGAATGTTTTTGAAAAATGTGGGCTTAAAAAAGTTCATATCGGCCCAATTTACAATGTTGGCTTCGAAAGTTCATAACGGCCCAAACAAAACAGAAAAAAATAATCCAATGATCCAGATTAGTCAACGCAAATCGACGATTTAGATTACACTGAATATTGTATAAGTAGTGAAATTATCGGACCAAGGGCTTCATTTCTTCCTTCATTTTTCGCCACTTCAAGTTTCTTCTTTCGTCTTTTTTCATCGATCTTCTTCCAACTTTTCCGTTCTAACACTGAGGGTCTTATAAATATATATTCTTTTTTAGTTTTCATTTAATCGATGCTTTAAATTAGTTTTAGGTGTCTTGCACGAAACAAAATATGAATTGTTTCAATTTGAGTTTTTTATTTTCAATTTTTGTAGTTTTATGTTCGAAATTTTTGGTTTATACAGTTAATCAAAAGAATTCTTCGAATTTGAGTGTGCGCCGGTAGATTTTATTAATTTTAGTTGTTTTGCCCGAAAAAGAAATGTGCAATTTTTAATTTTAAGGTTTTTATGTTCGATTTTTGTACTTTTATGTTCGGATTTTTTGGGTGTTTACGATTAGTCAAAAGAACTCTTAGAATTTGAGTGGGTGTCGATAGATTTGTTATTTGTTTGATCGGCAAAATTATTTTGTTACACAAAATTTTTTGGCGTCCAAATGATTTTTTTTTTCCTTTTAAAACTCAACTCGGCTGAAAACATACAAATCTGACAATTAATTATGTGATATCATTGATTTTGATGAATTGCACACAATTATACAATTATTATGGGTTATGAACTTGCAAGTTTTTTTTGCCCAAATTAATGAATGTTGATATCAAATTATTTTAAAAAGTATTGGTATTGAAATAAAACTCAAATTTTGAAAAGCATTAGGGTCTTAAATATACATATTATTTTTTAGTTTTCATTTAATCGATGCTTTAAATTAGTTTTAGGTGTTTTGCACGAAACAAAATATGGATTGTTCAATTTGAGGTTTTTATTTTCGATTTTGTAGTTTTATGTTTGAATTTTTTAGTTTTTACAATTAATCAAAAGAATCCTTCGAATTTGAGAGTGCGCCGGTAGATTTTGTTAATTTTAGTTGTTTTGCCCGAAAAAGAAATGTGCAATTTTTAATTTAAGGTTTTTATGTTCGATTTTTGTACTTTTATGTTCGAATTTTTTGGGTGTTTACGATTAGTAAAAAAAACACTTAGAATTTGAGTGTGTGTCGATAGATTTGTTATTTTTTTATCGGCAAAATTATTTTGTTACACAAAATTTTTTGGCGTCCAAATGATTTTTTTTTTCTTTTAAAACTCAACTGAGCTGAAAACATACAAATCTGACAATTAATTATGTGATATCATTAATTTTGATGAATTGAACACAATTATTATGGGTTATGAACTTGCACCTTTTTTTTGCCCAAATTAATGAATGTTGATATCAATTAATTTTAAAAAGGATTGGTATTGAAATAAAATTCAAATTTTTAAAAGCATTATTTGTACCAAAATTGAGCAATTTGGTTACCAAAACTGAGTATCCGTGATTGATGGCATATTTAAATGTTTTTCTCATTTAATAAATAGAAAATAAAAACAAAACTTGCCCAAAATGGTATGCAATTAATGTTGCCAGATTTTTTTTGCTTAATATTTTTGATAAATAGTAATTCCTATTATATATATATAGATTGCAGTGTAGAATTCTTAGAGAGCATGAGATGAGGGAATTTGATAATAAGATGAGATTCCATAACTTTGAAGGTAATTGTTGATGTGAAGTGTAGCAACAACTGTGCTTACGGCCCAGACAACTATATGTTGAACCCTAAGATCTTTACTAGTTTTGGTTACAACGTACGAATAATGCAAACACCTCGACCCGTTGCTTTGAGAAGCATGAACCTTGGTATACGTGAAAATGCGATAAGAAGGATGATTGTTTGCTTGATAGCTTGATAATTGCAACAAGAAAATTGTTCTTGAAGTCTTGAAACTACTCTCATTTTGAGAGAAGAAATTTGAATTTCTATCGATCACTTTCTTCATTTAAAGTCTAAAGTCATATTAACGTGCTCCCTGTGGTAATGGCCTAAGCTCCTACATATAGGTGCTAAAACTGAAGAAAATATGGAAAATAGCTACTCCTAACCTTAATAGGACATCCAAAACATGAGAGCCCTTGTTTGCATATATAAAAATAGTTATTCCTATCGGCAAGCAGATGCTGCTAACTCAAATCTATATTGTCCTAACATAAACAATAGATTTTAAGAATTTCAGCTTCTGGAAAAATACTTTTCCATTTGTATCAAACAAATGTACCCTAGCTTTCGTGATCTTTTCACAGCCCAGTATGTATGATACGCCTGCTTTCATAATCATACACCCATATATCAACACAGTAGGGATTAAATTTGCTCTCCTTGTGCCACAGATTGCGTGCAGAGACTTCCCTCACCCACGGAACCTCTGCGCCACATTCCCCTTCACGTCTACTCCGCACGTGCGTCACTGTGTTCAGGTATAATTTTCATTTTCAATCATCATCATCACAATTATTGTTTACACGATTTTCTATCAGTTGGATAAAAATAATTTTCTCCATATTCCCAGTGCTACTGTTTCGTCTGTGATACGCGGGCCCCGTGTTCCCGTTGGGGCACTGGGAACTCGACCACAAACCACTGCCACGCCACCAGTGAGGACAAGCACTGGAAAGCCGAGAGGTCACGAGCTAAAAAAAAGGGTAATTATAAGCCACTTCGAAATGTGCCTGCTCTGGAAATTGACGGTGAAGAAAACGACGACGATGATACTCGTCTGATAAAAGCACTTCTCCACACTCCCGAAGTCCCCATGCTCGGGCTTGGCCCACCCAACAGTTTTGCTTCTGCCCGTGGCGCACGAAGCCTGGGCTCCATGTCAATTCCTCATCGACAATCCTTCAAGCGGCCTGGATTGGTTGGGGCGTCTTTAAATAATACAAATAATAATATGATGAATAATAATAACAGGTTTGGGTTTGGGGCCCAACTACCTACTGATCCGTCTCTGAATTGGCGCCGAGCACTGGAGACTCCTTCTATAGGCATTCCCAATGCTTATTCTGTGGGGACATCAGCACCTTTGCCAGGGCCTGGTGCTGTATTTCGTCCCACCAGCAACTTTGCTGGATCTCTGGCGGGCCCATTCCAGCAATTGGGCTCGGGGAGTGGATTGCTGCTGCCCTCCGGGCCCGTCTTGTCTGGTATTGGGCCGGGCCGTGGGGTGGGGAGTAGATTGTTTGAAATAGAGGCTGCACGTGGGAATCGTGGGGGGTTGTTGATGGATGGGGTGGATGGGTTGGGACGAGCGATGAATGGTGGAAGTGGTGCGTTTATGAGTTCGCGTGAGTTTGGGTCGGCCTGGATACAATGGTTTCTTAGCCGAGGAGGTTTACGGTCATCATCTCGTGGGATGGGCAGCAAGTTCCCGGCCACAAATTTTGGCGGAAATGATTTGGGGCAATAATGGTAAATGTGGTTTTNAACTTGGTTAATCAAGATTGTAAACTGGTTGGGCTGTTGATTTGGATTCTGTTGAGACTTTGAATTTGGCTTTTGATGTTTTCTGGATTTCGAGAATTTTGCATTTTTTGTGTCATGGTTTAATGTTTCGATGGTTCTATATTTATTACTCATGTGATGATGGTGATTATGGACTTATGGTAGATGGGAGCTTAATACTCCTTTCTTCCAAAATATTTATATGGGGCTTGCCTCAATGAAATGATTTAGGGTAATAAAATCTGTTTCTCCTAAAATATTTAGTCCAAATTCCAGAATTCCTTATGGGAATGTTCCAAATAAAGAGTAGAACTCTGTTGTACTTGTGTTATTCTTTTGTTTTTTATAACGGATATTTCCTCATAAATTTCTAATGCACATTTCAAATGCCTTGTCAGTCTCTAGCATTTTAGAACTTCTTTTGCACTTCCTAACACAACTTTATCTTTCCTCTCAACTCCCCATATAAATACTAATACTATTATTATTAATTTATTTTACATAATTTTTTATTCTCTTTCTTCACTCTCTCTCTTTGCATCCCTCTCTCTTCGTCGAACACGATTCTCTCTCTCTTCGTGCATCTCGCTGCCGGCAAACTCACTATCTCCGTCGCCGACCGCTTGCTCAAAATTAACATCGGATTGAGCATTTAAAATAAGTCCCCAAAACAATCTCATGTTGTTTGTTTGTCAATGATCAAGGTGGGATTGAAATTCCATTATCTGAATCCCTAATTACTTCCTCCCCAATTTGCAAAAGCCACTTGAACCCACCAAGTTATTGAGCCCGTGCTCAACGACCGCCTGGGCAAGAAAGTGCAACAAGGACGACACCATCGGAGATCTCAAGAAGCTGGTTGCCGCACAGACCGGCACACGCGCCGACAAGATCAGGACCCATAAGCGGTGCACCATCTACAACGACCACATCACCCTCAAGGACTACGAGGTCCACGACGGCATGGGCCTCGAGCTCTACTATAACTAGGTTCTTCGCTATTCCCCCAATTAATTTCAATTTCGACCTAATTTTGTGTAATTATGCTCTCTCGCTCTCTCTCTCTCTCTATCTGTATTTCATTGTTTTGGGTGATTGAGAGAATAGGATGATGTTGGCGCACTTTGATTGTGCTAGCACGTCTGGTATCAAAGATAATGGGGTCAGTGTTGGAATTGGTGAGATGGTGGCGGATTTGGAGAAAATGACATTAGGTGAATGGTTTAAATTCTTGGAAGTTTATCTTCCGAAACATATTATTGATGAGACGGAGCAGATGATATCTGAAATGAGGAAAAAGGCAGAGAGGTTGAATGAATTTATGCTACAACATAAGAATGCCAAGAGCGGTGTGGTTATGGACTAGAAAAGCGGATGGGTTCCCTTTGTGCTCTTTTGGTAATTTTGACTAGCATTTCCTTACCTCCTATCATCTATAAGATTACTGTGCTTAGATTAGTGCTGCTGAAATTTGTGCACGTGTTCTGTATCGTCTATGACATTCTCTGAATGTACTCTGCAGTTATTGTAATTATATGTTGATTCAAAAATTAATCATTGAACTCAGTGGCTACAGGCTATACAGGCCACAGTTTAGTCTGAATGCCTGATGCATCTTTTATATTACGTAGATGTACTACTTTTAATATAATTATATTTGTTGAATTGAATTTTTGAGGAAACTCAACAGTTTGTTTGGTATTGTTGCTTCTGTTTAGTTCTTCATTGTTGAAATGGCTGAGGAAATGGAGTGGGTGTGTTATAACAATTTGAATATGAATTAGGGCTGAGGTGTTGTTTAGTGTTTTATATCAATTTGAATATGAATTAGGGCTGAGGTGTTGTTTGGTGTTTTATATAATTTTAAATGAGGTGGTGTTATTGTTAAAATGGGTTGAGGTGTTGTTATTGTTGAATTGTATCGTTGTTTGTATCTGTTTCTTATGTTTTAAAATTGTCTTTATTTTATTTGTTTTTGATAGGGCACCGAACTAAGATGTAGGTGTGCCCCCTCATACTTCAAATTTTTGGTTGGCGAGCTAGTTCGCCATTCTCAATCGAGCGAAGATCATACTTCGATGGATGTGCTATTAGTTGATTGTTTGATGGATGATTGTAATTTTATGGATGATGGTTTGTGGGACTAAGGTGTTTGAATGGATGTTTTGGATTTTTTTTATTTGATTCCTAGTGATACCTGTTTTCTTAATATTAGTATCGCATGTTTTGTGTAAAAGTACTCATTTTCCAGTAGCTAGTACTCATTTAAGGATGTGTTTTTAAACTGTATACCAGTTTCTATTCATAGTAGTACCTATTTTCTTCACAATAGTACCAGTTTTGTATTGTTATAGTACCGGATATTAGCTCATCAGTACCACTTGTAACGAACACATAAAACACCGAATTTTGGTCTCAAATGATGTTTACATGACAAATAATCACTCTCACACTAGTTTTTATGAGATTTATAATGTTTTTAATTAAGTTTAATTGCAAATTGGTCGCGAACTCGACACACTAATGAAAGAACACTACCAACACTTCATCTCATTAAAACTGTACCAGTTTTAGGCAAAATAGTACTGCATTTTCTTCTACGTGGTACCTGCTTTTGATCGATTAGTACCTGCTTTTGTGAAGAAAAATTGATTATTTCAATTGTGGTCAACATTTACAAAAAGTAGTACCAGTCATAGTGCAAGACAGTACCACTTTATGGCGTGTTAGTACTAGATATCGTTTCTCTAGTACCACTTGTAATGAACACATAAGAAGACCGAATTTCGTTCGCAAATTATGTTTATATGACCCATAATCACTCTCACATTAGTTTATATATGATTTTAAATGTTTTTGATTGAGTTTACTCGTAATATGGTCATGAACTCGATACACTAATGAGAAAACACTACTAATAGAGTTCATTTAATTGAATGACACACTTCATCTCATAGAAATCATCATACATGACTACTCCAAATTTACCTATATGTTTTCACTTCCACGTTTTTTTAATCCAAATCACGTGTGAACGATCTACGTGTCATGGTAGACATGAAGGATTAGAGAAATTGCGATTCTGATAATAGTACCGGTTTTGGGCAACATAGTACCGCATCTTATTCTGCGTGGTACCTAATGTTGATTGAATAGTACCTACTTTTTTGAAGAAAAATTGATTATTTCAATTCTGCTCAACATTTACAAAACGTAGTACCAGTCATAGTGTAAGTCAGTACCACATTATGGAGAGTTAGTACCAGATATCCTGTCCCTAGTACCACTTGTAATGAACACATAAGAAGACCGAATTTCGATCGCAAGTGATGTTTATACGACCCATGATCACTCTGACATTAGCTTATATAAGATTTTAAATGTTTTTGATTGAGTTTAATCGCAAATTGGTCATGAACTCGATACACTAATGAGAAAATACTACTACTAGACTTCATTTCATTGAATGACACACTTCATCTCATAGAAATCATCATACATGACTACTCCAAATTCTACCTATATGTTTTCAATTCCACTTTTTTTCATCCAAATCACGTGTGGACGATCCACGTGTCATGGTAGACATGAAGGATTAGAGAAATCGCGATTTTGATAATAGTACTGGTTGTGGAAAACATAGTACCGCATCTTATTCTGCGTGGTACCTGATTTTGATCGATTAGTACCAACGTTTGTGAAGAAAAATTGATTATTTCAATTCTGCTCAACATTTACAAAACGTAATACCAGTCATAGTGTAAGGCAATACCACATTATGGCAATCTAATACCAGATATCCTGTCTCTAGTACCACTTGTAATGAACACATAAAAAGACCGAATTTCGGTCGCAAATGATGTTTATACGACCCATGATCACTCTGACATTAGCTTATATAAGATTTTAAATATTTTTTATTGAGTTTAATCGCAAATTGGTCTTGAGCTCGATACACTAATGAGAAAACACTACTACTAGACTTCATTTCATTGAATGACACACTTCATCTCATAGAAATCATCATACATGACTACTCCAAATTCTACCTATACGTTTTCAATTCCACTTTTTTTCATCCAAATCACGTGTGAACGATCCACGTGTCATGGTAGACATGAAGGATTAGAGAAATCGCGATTTTGATAATAGTACCGGTTGTGGAAAATATAGTACCGCAACTTATTCTGTGTGGTACCTGATTTTGATCGATTAGTACCAATTTTGTGAAGAAAATTTGATTATTTCAATTATGCTCAACATTTACAAAACGTAGTACCAGTCATAGTGTAAGGCAGTACCACATTATGGCGATCTAGTACCATATATCCTGTCCCTAGTACCACTTGTAATGGACACATAAGAAGACCGAATTTCGGTCGCAAATGATGTTTATACGACCTATAATCACTCTGACATTAGTTTATATGAAATTTGATATTTGGTTAATTAAGTTTAATCACAAATTGGTCACGAACTCAACACACTAATGGAAAAACACCTTAATGCACTTCAATTCATTGAATGGTACCAGTTTCTATGGAAATAATACCTCTTTCTCTTCTACGTAGTATCTGTTATTGATCGATTAGTACCAACTTTTGTGAAAAAAAATTTATTATTTCAATTCTGCTCAACATTTACAAAAAGTAGTACCAGTCATAGTGTAATGCAGTACCACTTTATGGCGCTATAGTACCAGATATCATGTCCCTAGTACCACTTGTAATTAACACATAAGAAGACCGAATTTCGGTCTCAAATGATATTTATACGACCCATAATCACTCTGAAATTAGTTTCTATGATATTTGATATTTGGTTAATTAAGTTTAATCGCAAATTGGTCACGGACTCAACACACTAATGAAAAAACACTACTTAATACACTTCAACTCATTGATTGGTACCAGTTTTGACGGATATGATACTGTTTTTTCTTCTACGAAGTACCTGTTATTGATCAATTAGTACCAGCTTTCTGGAATGAAAATG